CACACACACACACACACACACACACACACACAAATACACACACACACACACACGCACACACACACACACACACACATATATATATATTTTAGATATATTTATACTGTATATTTCTGCTTGTTTGATCCATATTGGTTCACGTTGATGTATTCTTAGATTTTGTTCGTGGTATTCGACTGCTGTGCGCCTGCTTGCGACAGCGACTTATGAATGTAAATATCTATTACATACGATTGTCTCTCTCATAACTCTCATTATAGACTCTTTCTCATCTTCTTAAACGTGTGTTACTGACAAACTTAAAATACATAAAAATTGTTAGCCCCCCACAAATTATAAAGTTACAGGGTAAATTGATATGTATTTGACGCTATGCAGCAGCTATTGGGCTATTTATATCCTTCTGAGGCTATATAATTTCAAGTTAATATTTGAGTTTGTATATGACTCCTAAAACGACGAGGCTATGCTTGTATAAAGTTTATCTTGTTCGTTTCAGAAGGTTGCTATGTATATGTAAAACAAGCATGGTCCGCTGCATCGGTATACATGTAATATTGTAGCCTTCTTGTCCTTACGAGGTTGTTATTTATGTGTATTTATTTTCCAACAAGGGTGACCCGTCACTTGCTGCATCATGCGGACCCGTCACTCGCTGCATCACGCGAGTCTATCTATTTATGTTTGATTAGAAGGCTATATGAAATTTATCTACTAAGCTTTTGTTGTTTAAAAAGATCGTTTTGAAAAGAAAGAAAAACGAAACTAATATCATAGAAGAGAACAAAAAGTGTTTTGAAAAATAATAAAGAGTACATATTTCATAGCCTTTTTAAAAACTAGTACATACAGATTGGGTTTTGTAAAAAAACACAAGAAAACAACTGAACGGACACTGTCGGGCAGCGGAGGCCCCGGAGTGTAAAAGTCTCCCAGCAGCAGAGTGACCCAGAGTCCCAGAGTCACATCCTAGAGTATAGAGTAGAGACTCTAGTGACCCATACTTTCCCCCACCACCAGTCCAAGACGGCCTACAAAATTCCGCCTATCATATGCATTCAGTAAAACAAATAAAAAGTGAAAATACGATGAAGCCAAAGGGTAAAGGCCCACAGGCCACAGCCCACAAGGCACCCACAGGCCACAGCTCAGGGCCCAGGGGCCAGGCCACGGCCCATAGGCACGCAGGCCACAGCTCGGGGCCCAGGCCACAGGGCCCCAGGCCCAGGCCCAGTCCCCACAGCCACAGGACAGGACAAGGTTTGTCTCGGAACTTGAACAAAATATATAATGTCCGAAATGTGCGAACTGCGATGTGCAATTGTTTTAAATTTTTTTCTAAATCGATATCGGTTGCTATGAAGTCGACGGTTATCAAAACGGCTCATTGGTAAATAGCTTCAAAGTATCTGAAAGCTTTTATTTCTATTAAAAAAATGAATGGCCCTCGAGCCGACGGGCCCTCAACATGTCATCGTCCTCCACTTTTTATTTATCGAGTTATTTAGCTTTTTGATTTGGGCCTTCCTATTCAACATTTTAGAACAAACGCACTATTTTTAGACACATGATGGTGGTAAATAGAGAGAGATAGAGATGATTTTACTCGATTCTACTGGGCGTAAATAGTCTGTCAGAGCCGGAGGAGGGGTTGTTTAAGTTAAAAATATATCAAGTTGTAGTTTTTCTAGTACTATTTATGTATGAAATAAGTCTGCTGGAATGCAACTTACAATCGCCGTGTAACTCGCTTCATGACGACTGACTTTGATAATCTTATCCGATCATCACAATATATAACCACATCGACATCCAAGGAAAACTTTCAGTTCTGATCATAAAATCTAGAGTTGACGGATTCGTATTTCGCGCAGGTTCATTATGAAGATTCAAAGCCCAATCGTCAAGCGCCGTGAGAAGAAGCTCGCTAGAAGGAAGTAAGTACTTAGTTTTAGCAATATGAACTATACAGAGTGAGGATTTATCCCCTGCTTCGTACTTTTACACAATCTTTGTACTAATCATTAAATACAATCGATACAGAGCCGAGTTCGAAGAAATTGAAGAGAGAACTATCGAAGGAGACGGTGATAACGCCGTTCCGATTCCAGAGGATAGCTTCACGAAGAATATGAGAGAGTGTGGCGGTCTGATTCAAAATAACCCAAAATCAGAACAAGTTATCATTCGATATGATGCTCTGCCTCCCCAGCAATGTCTAAGCCTACGTAAGTCATTTAGCGAATCCACTGAATTTACCTTACAAAAGTTCTGAAATCGATTCAATTCTAGAACAGCTTTGCATTGTTGTACATCTTCCGACCACATCGGACTCGGATTTCCATCGCATCGAATTTCACCCCCTCTCATAATTCCCAAACTTATTACCTCACTTGTCAAACTACAGTGCGCGATTCCTTCAGGCCGTTGGCGCCGAAAGTTATCGAGGATGAAACCATAAGTGAGCAGGAGGTCAAAATGACTTGCAACGGTAGTGAATAGTTATTAAAGTGCTTCCAAATTGCCCCGTTTGGACATTGTCGCGATTGGCAACTCACAATAGGTACACGGAGAGAAAATTGTACACAGACAGATACGCTATACAGGGATTCACATATACTCCCCCAAACACACATACATATATATATATACGAGCCCATTTATATATATATATATT